CCTCCCTTACCATCATCTGAAATGGTGGGCAATGATACATACAGCACATTGTAGAGCAATATATGAGTTATGAATATGGCCTACAGAGCCTTGGAAACATTAACTTATGGTAAATGCATTTACAGCTATACTAAAATAAAACCTGGTTGCTTATTTCTAGGTTCATAGGTTTGTGGCTTTTGGTAGCTTTCGCCTGGAAATTAATGGCTTACTTGGGAAACAAAACTTACTTCTTAAGACACCGAATTTAGGCACATTGACTATTGGCTGCTATCCCATTCCTAAACCATGAAGTATGTTATTGTTCCTTTTCTGGAGTTGCAATAAGATCTTGTTTACATTTTCTTTTGAAATAGTTAATTTGTGACAGCTTTCATATACATCCAAGCTGTGAAGAACAACTTGTTTGTTCCAGAAACGCTTCTATTTTATGGAACCCAGATTAAATTACCGGTTTAAGGTAGGTTTGGTATTCCTACTGTCATTTGTTCTCTTATGTTGAAAAAGACACACACATTTTAAAAGGAAATAGAACAAAATACCATGGGATAAATACATCAGTGGGTATTTCTGTGTCTTAATTGTAAGCTCTGATGGATCTTTGTAGAAATATAGCATTAAAACAAAACAACCTTCCCCCAAAACTCATACCAAAATAAACTTGCAACATGATCCAACTGAATGAACACAGTTTCAAGGCCCATTGATTTTCAAGGCCCATTGTTTTAGTAGGTGAAAACATATGCTTAACTCATTCCATTAGAATAAATGGTAACACCAGTCTTGAAAGACCTGCATTGGCTCCCAGTACCTTTCCGAGCACAATTCAAAGTGTTGGTGCTGACCTTTAAAGCCCTAAATAGCCTTGGTCCAGTATACCTGAAGGAGCGTCTCCACCCCCCTCGTTCTGCCCGGACACTGAAGTCCAGTGCTGAGGGCCTTCTGGTGGTTCCGTTGCTGCAAGAAGCCAAGTTACAGGACTATGAATGCTACCTTCCGGGCAGGACTGGAACTTAGAGGGGAGGGGTGTTATGTACTGAGTTGAATAGGATCCAAAATGCAGCAGTCGGATTGGTCCTAGAACAATAGGATTCAGAATGCAGCAGTCTGATTCCTATTGTTCTAGGACCAATCAGACTGCTGCATTCTGGATCCTATTCAACTCAGTACATAACACAGGCCTTCTCGGTAGTGGCACCCGCCCTGTGGAATGCCCTCCCACAAGATGTCAAAGAGAAAAACAACTACCAGACTTTTAGAAGACATCTGAAGGCAGCCCTCTTTAGGGAAGCTTTTAATGTTTAGCAGACTATTGTATTTTAATAGTTTGTTGGAAGCCGCCCAGAGTGGCTGGGGAAACCCAGCCAGATGGGCGGGGTATATATAATTAATTATTATCATTACTTAAAAGCATATGATTCTACTCCAGAGAAAATTAGTCATCATGCCTAAAGAGCCACAATCCACACAGGAATACCCATGAGCAGCAGCTTCCAGGCTTGAACATGAAGAAATTAGCAATCTCATGTGACCCAGATTTTGGACAGACACACTCCTTGCAAAGCCTAGAGAACCATAGAAGCTGTGGAAGGGCTACATCTCAGAGCATCTGACTTGGATGCAGAAGGTCCCAGGTAGGGAAATCCTACCTGAAACCTTGGAGAGCTACTACTGAGCTAGAGTGACCATTTGTCTGACTCAGTTTTATTTATTTGCCTCTTTATCTCCAGTGAGCTCATGGTTCTCCCCCTCCTCATTTAATTCCCACAACAGCCCTGTGAGGTAGGCTGAGGGGCAGCGACTGTCCAAAGTTACCCAGTGAGCTTCATGCCCGAGTATAGATTTGAACCCTGGTCTCTTAGGTCTTTGCCCAACACTCTCACCACTAGGTAAAGGTAAAGGACCCCTAGATGGTTAAGTCCAGTCAAAGGTTGCAGCACTCATCTTGCTTTCAGGCTAAAGTCGTCAGCGTTTGTCCACAGACAGCTTTCCGGGTCATGTGGCCAGCAACAGAACACCATGACGAAAACCAGAGTGCATGGAAATGCCGTTTACCTTCCCATCGCAGTGGTACCTATTTATCTACTTGCACTGGCGTGCTTTCGAACTGCTAGGTTGGCAGGAGCTGGGACAGAGCAACGGGGGCTCATTCCATCACGGGGATTCGAACCGCCAACCTTCAGATCAGCAAGCCCAAGAGGCTCAGTGGTTTAGACCACAGTGCCACCCGCGCCTCGCCACTACACCACATGGGCTCTCTATAAGACAGCTATCCATCCATCTGAAATGCTTCCAAATTTATTGGATGTGTGGCTTCCCATTTCAGACTGAATCACTGAGTCAATAATTGTGAAACTCAGGGAATATACACTGTGTAGGTTGATCAAAAACCCAGGATTGCTGGAGGATGGAGACGGTGTGGGAGGGAGGCTTAGCCACTGTGAATTCTGCCTCGAGAACCAGAGGACGGTCCTAGCAGAAATACACCATTAGTTGACTTTAGAAATCAAAGCCGTGCGGGCTACACAAAGGGGAGTTTGTAATTGCTGCCTGATGCTAATCCCATTGGCATGCCTTAGTGAAACATGCACAGCGCTGCGGGGAGGTTGTCAGGATCTGGTTGCAGGAGCCAGCCTCTAGGCGAAAGGCTCAGGCGAAGCTTAGACTCCCTGTATCGCCACCCGTGAGTCAGAGTCCATCTGCCTTATTGACTGACAGACCTTCCCCCTCGAACAATGCACATGAAAAAGAACATGGCTCTCTGGCTGCTCCTCCATTGTCCCTTGGGCTTAACTTCTTAACCCCTTTCCTTGCCAGCCTTTCATTCCAGCAGGCCCAGGGGGAAAGGCACTTGTAGCAACACTGATTAATTCCCTCCTTGCAAAATGGGATCACGTAACCAGGGACATTTCCTTGTTTCCAAAGGGTATAGCCAAATGTGTCTGGCTCTTTCATTTGAAATCACTGCTAATTATAATATTTAGAATTTAGATATATCTATATTTACAGGGCAACAAAAGGCACAATGCCTCACTGCCTTGCAGTGTGTATATATATATATATATATATATATATATATATATATATATATATAACCTAGCCATTTCAAGTTGCCCAAACTATAGAATCATGTATGACTTGAGTTAGTATTTTTTATAAATATCTTTACCCCCAGTTTTCAGCTGAAAGGGCTAATAAAAATGAAACAGTCGCCGCTTCCAGCCTGCCAGTGTAAAAGAACTTGCACAAAAGAGGGGAAACAGGGCTGAGGAGGGAATTATTAACTTAACCCTGAGGAAATGGGAAGTAGCTTAGTAGTCAAGCATTTGCTTTGCATGCAGGTTCAATCCATGGCATCTACAGGTAAGGCTCAAGGAGATGCCTCTTCTGAAATCCTGGAGAGCTTCTGCCAGTTAGTGCAGACAATTCTGAAGTAGGTGGTCTGATGTAATATAGGGTGCCTTCCTATGCTCCTGAACAGGTTTTGGGGAGGAGTTAAATGAACCTGCTCTAATAGCAAAGCTGATGGAACACAGTTTCTACCTCTTTTTTGGTTGCAGCCTGATGGAATGACTGCTGCCAGGTGACGACTGATGGTGGGAGTGTGGGAATTTTAAGGAAGGTAGGAGAGGGTATATTGTTTTGATATTATCCCTCCTCACTCACGCTGGTGAGTAAACAGCAGAGCACATTCCCTTTGCAACTTATTGGAAGCAAGTTGATGATTTGTTAGACTACTTCAATTAAGCAATCCAGTCTCGCTTGTCCAGTCTGGATTGTTCTGGGTAAGTTTCCCCTTTTCTTTCGCTCTTAAAATAATGACACCACAACAGAGTGTTCTTTAAAAATAAGAATAAAGTTTTACTCACATTCAGTTCACAGCAGTAATCTGAAGGCAGGCTTTATCTTGTGGTTACAGTGAAAAGAATTCTGAGCTACATCTCAGACTTTCTGCTTGTGGACTCCATCCTATGTGAAGGTTGAGCCATGCGCTGGCTAAGAGTCAGGAGAGTGATGGTGTAAGAGTAAGAGTGTAAGAGTCCAAGAGAGAGATGGTTGTGTGGCCAGCCGTTTTATCTGGTCAGCTAGGGTCACGCCCATCTACCTGGTCACACACAGGAAGCCCCAGAGCAGGTATGACAGGAAGTCCTCCTTGTCTGGAATCACAGTCCCCTGTGGGTCCATTCTAGGCAACAGGAAAATACTGTACTTGACTGCTCTAGTAATAATACATCCCACAAGCAGGAGCTTAGCGGAGTTGATTTCTCAGCAGAGTCAATGAAGTACTGCTAGTTCCCAGCTCTCCCTGATGGAATCAGGCTGTTTAGATGGCATCGGATAAATAATAGGATCCTATTGAGCAATAGGCTCCCATATTGGGTAAAGCAGCAATAAGGTGCTTTTTTGGTGGGGGGAAATGTTCACATTTTTATTCATACAACCCCACCCACCCCCATTTTATGTTTTAAAGAAAAAATACACAACATTTCAATTTAATTTTTGATCGGAAGCATTTTGAATAAATCATTCGGAAGGTATGTTAGCAGTTAGAAGAACAGCATATCTGTGTTAATCTATTGCAGCTTGATATAACCACATGCAGGGCATATACCCAGCATCACTGCCAGGTCTGAGAGGGTCCTGGGCAATGGTCCTCTGCAGACTCCTTGCACAAACTTGATAACAATGTCTGGGAATTTGCTATCACTTAACTACTTTGGCCAAAGATAACCAAAATGGAATTGCAAGTTGCAATTTCTATTCCATCTGTATACCTTAAGGAGGGCTCATTCCACAGCTTCAGGGCAACCACTGTGAAGCCCCTGTAAGCAGCTCTACAGTTCTAACATCTCATAGTGAGATCATTTGAGGTAGGTCCTGTTTTGAGGAGTGCAAGGAAAGCCACAAAGTCCAGTCTATTCTGGGCTGTGCAACTTTGGACTGCTTGGGTCAGGCATCCCATCTTTGTGTGCTCCCTCCCCTACCAATTACCACTATAAGAAGGGCTGTAGCTCAGTAGCAGAGCATCTGGCTGACATGCAGAAGGTCCCAGGTTCATTCCCAGGCACCTTCAGGTAGGGCTTGACAGTCTCTTCTGCCAATCAGTGCAGGAAAAACTGAACAAGATGGACCAGTGGTCTGACTTAACATAAGGCAGATCCTATGTTCACAAACTTTCTCAAACATAAGTAACTACCAGACCATGAAGGATTTTGTAACTAAAAGCTCTGTTTAACAGCTACTCTATGGAGCAGAAAATAGCCCCCTGTATGCCATGCAAGGGAGTTGGTTCTGCCCCTCTGGGGCAAAACAACATTGGCGAGCTTCATAGAGTCAGGGAGAAAGCATGGACACAGCCAAGCCACTGGTAGCTGCTGTACTGGTTTGACTCACGAGATCAAAGTATAAGTTTCATTCATTTCAGTAAAAAACCAAAGCACAACGTTGCTAGCAATGTTTTTATATTAGACTACCATATTTCACATTTTATTGCCCCCATTTTTATATTACTCATATGCACATTAAGGTCTGCTCACCTGGCCAGCTTAATAGTGTGTGTAACTCTTTGAAAGCTCATCCCCCCTGCCCCTTCAAATATGCAAACAGTACTATGCATGTAAATACAGAAATGGACCAGGGATTTTGCTGATTGGAAGAACAACCAGGGAGTGAAATTCAGCGTCAGAGCAGTTTAATGGTTAAAGCCTGCAAAATGTCAACATGAAGAGAACGTACTTTTTTATGGAGTCTAAAACTGTTTCAAATAGCTGACATTTTCGACTTGTAGAATTTAGGTTTTACGCCATTATAGCTGTAGACTTCTGCAACCATAAAACTGCTGGGCTGAAAACAGACTGCTTCGTCCTATGCATGTTTACTTAGAAGAAGTTAAGGGGCCACCAACTTCAAGGGAGCTCACACCCAAGCAAATGCCCCTAGGTTGCAGTAACCCTAAAGTTTACTCCCAACTAAGTCCCAGGCTGAAATCCAGTGCACAGTGACTTGGGAATAATTTAAACTTAACAGGATTTACCTTTGAGTAAATGTGGATAGCTTGGGGCTAGATTGCTAGAATCCTATGTACACATTGGCTGAAGCCTCAATGAAATCAATGGGGCTGCCTTCTGCATAAAGAGGGTTAGGATTGGGCTGTTGTCACAGAATCCTGTAAGTATTTACTGAGATGTCTCCTGGGGATTTCAGCAGAGTTCCGTTTCCAGCTCTGCTTAAGACTCCAGCTTTAATCATGCAAATTGGATCAAATCACAAAGCTTTGCTTGCTTTTATGTATGCAGGCTTTCATCAGGCAAGACATTTCAAACAATATTGATAAATTTTAAAGATCCATCAGTGTAAACGAAAGTCATTATCCTGCCTAACATATGCAAGATTTACAGAAAACAATGAAACAATGTGCTTTCATGGTCTTTGAACTAACAGTGTCCATGCACACACTATTGCTATTACTATTACTATCAGTTACCTTGCCCAGTTAATCAACAACGAAGCAGCAACACTCAGTAATGGGGAAAACCCCACCCTATGCTTAGTACATCTAACTGAAAGTGTCATGTTATCTGAAAAACTGACTTCCCCTCTATTGCCTGGTAAAAGCATTAAGATCAATAAATGTAATCCAGTTAGTTTTGCTACGGCCTGATAATTACCAGTTTGTGATAACATGGATACAAGCTTTTTCACTAGTGGCATCAGTGTTGTGGAACTGCTGCCTTGCTGAAATACAAGAAGCCCTATCTGTATTGGCATCCCGCTGGCTCTTGGAGATGTATCAGTTTAGACAAGCATTCCTCTGATCTTGTGACCTCAACCTCCTGTTTTGATTGTTCTAATTTCAAGTGTAACTGTTTTGTGCTGTTTAGTGGGCTTGCTTTATTGCACTTTTAAAATTGTAGATGTTTATTTCAAAGTTTTGATAGAATTGTTTTATTGTAAAAAGCATGTGTTTATATTTTATTGTAAAAAGCATGTGTTTATATTTTATTGTAAAAAGCATGTGTTTATATTTTGGGGTTTTATACTTGTAACTTGTATGGAAGGTCATTTGGCAATTAAGTGGAATAATAGTTGTCTGAGCCCAGGATATACTTTAAGTGATTCTCACTGTGTGTGCCTCCTCTAAAGTTAGAGATATTCAAGGGAAGTTCTGCTTTAGTGCCACTAATGATTGAAGCAGGGATGGAAGAGTCTCTTCCTAGTCCATATCAGCCTCACACTCATAAGTGTCAGAGGAACTGGACATGGGGAAGGGTCAATTTCCTTTGTGGGCACAAATCACCCCATGTATGAGATAAGCCAACAAGTGCAAGGTCAGCCAAGCTGGCTGCTATGGCAAAAGCCCAGTGCCATCTATATAAGTGATTAAGACATGTCAGCTCATTAGTCAGTCAGTGAGTCTGTCCATGAGTCTGAGTCTGTGTTATATCTTGAAGCTGGAGCAACAGATATATCCCTGTGCTTGTATATACTGTATCTGTAACCGGAAAGCCAACAAGCTGTTTGTATATATCAACATCTAGAACCTTTTGTAGCTGTAAGCTATTTTGGACCTTAAACCATCTCTGTGTGGTGAGGACAACCTCCGCTACATGGGTATCTCCTCTCAGGTTCACAACAGTAAGTCTGTCCCCTTCCAGTTCTGCATTAATCTGGATGAAAAAGAAAAAAGAAAAATCCATATGGGAAATTAATATATAAATACATTTTTTTAAAATTTATCTTAACATACCTATTTCTAAATGTATTTTATCTTAGATACAAAGACGTTATTTTAAAAATAATAATAATAGTAAGAGAAATGTGAAATCTGAAGGATAATTTCATTCCAATCTATGTAATAGTCTGGGAGGTACAAAACTGAGTGGAAGAGGCTTTCTGCTATTGGAAGGGCACCTTTGACCCAACTCCATGTGCCAAGCCTACCAAGCCAATTTCATAGAACCATAGAGTTGGAAGGGACCCCAAGGGCCATCTAGTCCAACCTCCTGCAATAGTACCAGAGAGCATGGTACAGTATTCACACAAATAGTGCCTTTAATATGAGTTCCCCAGCACCTAATCAGCCACTATCACATTTGGCCAATAAAATCTAAAGGATGTTGATCAATATGGAGGCCAAATGGCCGAAATATTGGGAAATTTTGGAACAAGAAGGAGACAAATTGAAATTGCAGAGCTTTGAGAAATTAAAAGACAAAGTGCGAGATTGGCTTCACTATTATCAAATAAGGGAGGCTTATAATTTGGACAAAAAAATTGGTTTCCAGGTGGAAAAATCAAAACTAGAAACAGAACTCTTAGAACCCAAAACTAAGATTTTGTCAAAGATGTATAACTTGCTGTTGAAATGGAATACTCAGGATGAAATGGTGAAATCTGTTATGATTAAATGGGCACAAGATGTTGGACATAACATTATGTTTGCTGACTGGGAACAGTTGTGGACTACTGGTATGAAATTTACGGCATGTAATGCCCTAAGAGAGAATATTATGAAAATGATATACAGGTGGTACATGACACCAGTCAAGCTTGCAAAAATCTATCATTTGCCCGATAATAAATGTTGGCAATGTAAAGAAAATGAAGGTACATTCTTTCACCTTTGGTGGACGTGCCCAAAGATCAAGGCTTTCTGGGAGATGATTTATAATGAAATGAAAAAGGTATTTAAATATACCTTTCTAAAGAAACCAGAGGCCTTCCTGCTGGGCATAGTCGGCCAATTGGTGCCAAAGAAGGACAGAACTTTCTTTATGTATGCGACAACAGCAGCAAGAATACTTATTGCAAGGTACTGGAAGACATAAGATCTACCCACTCTGGAAGAATGGCAGATGAAGGTGATGGACTATATGGAATTGGCGGAAATGACTGGCAGAATCCGAGACCAGGGAGAAGAGTTGATGGAAGAAGACTGGAAAAAGTTTAAAGACTATTTACAGAAATATTGCAAAATTAATGAATGCTAGAATGATGTTGGATAGAAACTAAGTGGTCTTTAGCTGTAATGTTATAAGGGAATATGAAAAAATGGATTATTAATAGGTAAAAATTTAATGTTACAATATTTTATGATTAAAGACTAGGATATACAAAGAGGGGAGGGATTTGCTGAACTAACAAACTGAACTGGAATACAAAAAAGGGAGGTGTGAGGAGGTCCGGGAAATAAGCAAATGAAAGATAAGTAATTGAAAGAATGAATTGTTTTTAACCATTTTTATTTTGTATTTTTCTTTTTTCTTTTTTTATTTTGTAATATTCTGAAAATCTTAATAAATATCTTATTAAAAAAAATATCTAAAGGATGTTGAAAAGTGACTACAGTGGTACCTCGGGTTACATACGCTTCAGGTTACATACGCTTCAGAGGTTACAGACTCCGCTAACCCAGAAATAGTGCTTCAGGTTAAGAACTTTGCTTCAGAATGAGAACAGAAATTGTGCTCCGGCGGCCTGGCGGCAGCAGGAAATCCTATTAGCTAAAGTGGTGCTTCAGGTTAAGAACAGTTTCAGGTTAAGAACAGACCTCCAGAACGAATTAAGTACTTAACCCAAGGTACCACTGTATTAAACTAAGCCATGGAGCTGCATCTTCTTCTGATTGTTACAAGAACAAAACAAAGGCCCAGCTGTAGCACTCACTGTGCATCCCAAACGCTCACCGACTCCATTTATGGCTATAAAGTCAATTGGAGTCAAAAGGCACTTGGAATGCCCCAGGGTCAAAAGATAAAGCTCTGAGGACCTTTATGACCTCTTGACTGGACCAGCCTAGCTCTGTAGACCAAATATGAGGGCTGGCCAGTAAAAGCTTCAATTAGTGTAAAATTCAGCAGGCCTCCATCTCAGCAACACCAGCCCCCCGAGAACATGCCGGCCCAGGCCTACGCTCCCTCCATTGATAGCAGGTCACTTTCAAGGACGTGGCGTTAATCTTTAAGACTCTCTTTGGGATTTGGTGTGAGGTAGCTCAAAGAGACCCCTCTGTTTGTTGTGATGGCCTCCCTCTGCAAGTCTGTTCCTTGGAAACTATGAAGCTGTCAAGCTCAA